CCACGTATGACGGCTGAGGCGATCTCATGTCTCTTGCTGCTTGCAAGATGTTTGGCACGTGCAACATGGAATGCCGATCAGCTTGCGATACGGAAATGTCAAACATGTTTGACTTGAAACTGGCATGTGATCGTCCCAGCCGTTGCAAGACAAGGTCATGCACACCAACCACGTATGACGGCTGTGGCGATCGCATCTCTTGTGCTTTCTTGCCAGATGTTTGACATTGTTTGACTATGCATGCAAATGGAATGCCGACCAGCTTCGCATGGGCATTTTGGTACGTGTTTCCATAGCACCACATGATGACGCCTACAGCATGGAATCCCCGATAACATGAGAATCAAGCATCGAGCCTGGTATGCATGGAACTGGTGGTCCATTTTCCAGTCGAAACAGCTGCAAGCCAAGTTGGCCAAACACATTTGGCCCGGAAGTGTAACTAGTGGACTAAGTCGGGTTCGCCAGCATCTGTGTCATGCACAAGAACCCCGTATGACGGCTGAGCCAATGCTGCAATGCAACCAGATGCTTGATGCATGTTGTCAACGCCGGGCAATCTGTCATGGACTGGCCTTGCCACAAGGTAGTGTCAAGCATGCCTTTGCCCGGAATTGGAGTAATTATGAAAGGATGTGTCTGTGGGGGTCGCAGATGATGCATCGGCCTGATCTTGCCAGCAAGATGATTGTCCTGAGTGATAGTCCACTACTACGTAGATGACTTGAAATGCCCGCGCGCTTATTTATCGTAGCTCTTTCAGGTAGGTAGAACATCAAGCATCATTGGCCGTGCGTGTGTACTTGCAAAATCTCCGAACCGGCTCAGCTAGCGACACTTATGCGCAACTTTAAGCATCACGAGAAGTTGATGGAATTCTCTAGTGATGGGCCATTGTGCAAGAGACTTCGTATTTTTTCCGGCAGGTCCCCGCGGAAGTCCATCCCCCAAGAGCGAGTGGATCCCAGCATGGGCCCAGAGCTCGACGGGAGCAAAAGGGATGCAGCTGAGCCCAATCGGCAACACCATCTCCCTAAGGTTCCGGAAGCGGCGCTGGCTTCCTGACTGCAAGGTGTCGCAAGGGCTCTTTGGAGAGTGCCATTGAGTAAGTTTCATATACGGAATGCCTGACACTGTGCTTCCTACTTCGTTTCTCACTTCATCCCGCGCTCTGATCATAATGCTGCGAGAAGCTAATCACATGTAAGCCATGCCATTGTCCACACTACGGGCTGGACAGGAGTGGCTCAGCCACGCCGCGCTCTCCGGATCCCGAGCCAGAGGATCGGCCAGTCATCGACCATCATTTTCAAGCAGCTTCCTTGGCTCCGGCTACCCTCCGCGGATGGTTCTTATTGGCTTAGATACCTCAATAGAAGCGCACAGCCCTGGACACACCAAAGCTTGCAGACTCGCCCATACCCTCTTGTCCGGACTGAAAAGGCTTGCAGTCACACTTAATGGCCGTTTGCTACAAAAGAAGCGTGTTGCCGTTCAGATACGTACCATGAATGCCTCGAGCTTAATGCTTGAACAGGAGGGTATCCTTAGGAAAGGGTTGGATTCCTCGGCGCATCTGAAGGACTCCAAGTACAAGCAGCGACGCGAGGAGCGGTGCCGGCAGAGTCAGGCGTCGGGGGATCTGCCATCGGCAACAAAGATGATGAAGACCAGTCATTTTCGCATTTTTGCAACGCGCATGGCTCCCATGGCTCCCGCTGCCCTGTGAAACTCCAGGCATTTCGCAAGTGGCTCCGCAAGCAGCGGGCAAAAGGCAAAGAAAGCCCAAGCCCAGGCAGCACTCATCCGATTTTTGTCGAATTTTGGCTTCGCCAAAGGTAGCACGTCTTTGAACACAGGGAGGGCTGTGGAATGCTTTGGAGAGGTGTGTGAGGTTGCGAGCATCATCCCCACGCCAGCCTTGCCTGTTTCCGCCGTCTCCTTCAGGCAGCAAAGATGGCGACACACCCGAGCACAGCCCAATCTTGGAGGAAGAGATTCTGAGAGTGATTTGAGCGTGGCTGAAAGCAAGAGCTGTCGTGGCTTCCAGTAGACGCCGATGCGTAGTCGGTCCGTCCCCTCACCGCAGGAACCGTCTCCGAGCTGTGCCACGGAGTATTGCGTGCGGTGCTCGACTCGTGGGGAGGCATGTTCTGTTGCAGTGCAGCACAGCCCGCCTTCCTCGATGGCAAATTTCGTGTAAGGAGGACTCGGAGCAGACGCCGGCTTCTCGCATGAACGAGCTGCTAGGATGCAACTACTTTGGACTGTAAGTCGGTTCCTCCAAGCTTCTTCGAGCCTTAAGCCTCTTGTGCGAACGAGGTCCCGGGATGCGTCGTCTCCAAGCCCTAGGCAACCATTGGGCCGGGTGCAGAAGCCGAGACCTTCGCAGCCACTGGGCTGAGAATCGCATGGTCGAGAGTCCCGAATCGCCTGTCTTGCTTCGTCCAATCCCATTCTGTGGGTCCACGAAGCGCGACGAAGCGCGAAGCCACTCTATGTCCCATTGACCGGATGAGCCGAGGATTCGCCAGGAATGGAGGACCTCGTAGCGTAGCTATGGTCTACCAGCGGAAACCTGGATAAGCACAAGGCCGCAGAAGCCCAGCAACACATCATAACATCACAGTCCATCCTGTTTCGCTGCTTCCCTTACCCTTCCACGATGCAGGACAGAAATCTACTGTCCTGGATTTCCTGTCATGACCGTTGAGGACGTTCACCGACTCACGTGGTCAGACAATTTCAGACAGGCTTTTGACAGCGGTTGCACAGAGCAAGGGCAGGTTTGGGTGTGCATGTTGCATTTCATACCATAGTTCTGCAAAAGCAGGTAACTGCCTGCATATTGGGCTCAGGCTCAAGTCAGGTCTGGTCTAAACGGCAGGGCCCGCGCAGCCCCGGTCACCTGTGGAGTCGCCGGGTCGTTTCGCGTGTGCAGGTTGTGCCTCACTCTTCGGATTTGTTTGCACATGCGATGTCGCGCAGAAATGTCGCAGAGTGACTACCAGATGCTCGGGGGAGCAGCCTCTCACGCTCGTGAGCCTTGGATACTGCATCCCAAAGCCAAACTGTGGTTTGAGTAAACCTTTGGTCCTACAGAGCCTGGAGGGGCCTGGACGACAGCAACACTCCCCTTCATGATTGCATTGTGCAGCACTTGGACTGTGCGGCAGGAGTCCGCAGCTGGACTCGATGACACAAGGCAGCGTAGTAGCGAGCAGTGTTTTTGATGCAGAGGTTGATTTAGTGCTGTTGCTCGTGTCAAGGCGCTCGGCAACGCTCCGGCCTCAGGACTCATACAGGCAGGGGCGTTTGTGGAAGTTTCAAAAGAGCCAAGGAACCGAGCACGGTCGAAAGATGTCCATGCATCGGAGGCCAAACCACAATGACTGCCTCATAGTATGCCGACTTAAGTTCATTCCGGCCCAGTGTTTGCGGGTCTTATGCACAAGTTGGTTGCCATGTCGAGCCGGCGAGGGAAAGAGCTTTTTCAAGAAACGAGAAGTCTTCATGGCCTGCCAGTCCGAAGAGACACCTTGCGGACCAGCGGACTTGGGAGGGACGCCGTCCGACACTCCGCTGCAGGCCGGAGTTGACTGAGGCTGAGGTGTGCAGAAATACGTCGACACGACGATGTAGCCGTAGTCGCCTGAAAGCGCAAGAACGTGCTGTAAGGCTATAAGTGGATTCGGCTTTTGGAGCTTCGGACGCTGAGAGGCGCTGTGGCAGCGCCCGGCTCCGGAACGGACGGCATCGAAGGACATGGTGCCGCTGGCCCGGACCCAAGGTTTTTCTCTGCCGGAAGCGACGCTGCCAAGCCTTTCACCTTCTTGGATGGGCGTACGACGGAGGCCAGCATCGATCTGGGAGCCAAGGCTCATCAATACCATCATTATGGTCACAGTTCCTTGTAAGCCACTGTCTGCAACAGCAGCGTGTACTTGCTCCACAACGTGGTGACAAGTAGCTTCCCATCTTCCCTGCTCGCCTTGTTGCCCACTGTTATTCTCCATAATATGAGTTCAGTAAACCCTGTAGCAGTCACAACAGAATTGCGTTTGCTGCCTGCTTCAAGGGAGCACGATTGCAGGCCTCTGCCGTCAACGTGTCCAGTGACTTTGCAGAGGCGAGGAAGCTTTCTCATGTAGATTACCCGTTGTCGATGCTTCCTCGAACTCTACAGTAGCCGTAGCCTAGAGAATTGAGATGCGAGATTGGATGTCAGGGAGAGGCGCAGCTTCAAAGTTCGAAGTGCCCATCGACCCTCGGATGTCCCGCACTCAGATGTCGTTTCCGAGCCGCCTTGTCGAGTGATCGAATCTGCCTGAACACTACGACAGAGCAACAAGTCCGGACCTTCGTGGGGATGACAGAAATAAAAACGTAATGGAGAACTGTGCAGTTCTGGACCCCATCACCATCAAAGGCCCGAGGGCCCATGCTTCAGGTCCTTCACCCAAGACTTGCGAGGCTCTGCAGTTTGCAATCTTGTTCGCGCTGCTGTGACGCACTGTGCATTGGTTGAAGAAGCTGATGGACAGATAGATCCGCTGCGTTCATGATACTTGCAGTGTCAAGTGTACAGTCGGGCCAATTTTTCGTTTTCTCGAGCAGGTGCTTCCCAAAGGCGACGAGTCTCAAGGCGCTCCCTCTCAGCCACGCGCAGTCAGACTTAGGGCCCACTGACTGAGCTCTGGAGGCGTTCGAAAGTGCACCTTGGACGACTCCAAGAAGAGCGTCAGCCCGGGCCCTGGCCAAGGGAGGTTCAGGGAATCACAGGGCCCTGCATTTGCACGAGCTTGTCACTCCATGGCTGCTCACAGGCATTGGCGACAGGATTGAGGGTATCCGTGCATGCTTGGAGGCCGGGTCATGCCCGTTGCCCCATGTTGCCACCAGCTGTCTTAAAAGCTTCTCGGCCAGTCGATGAATCCTGAGGTTTGCTCTTCGGGGCTTCTGTGCATGATGTGCCTAGTCTCGGATGGATCTCGAATGATGTTACGTTTCATTAGGCGCAGGAGCCGCTAGCAGGAACAGAGTAGGTTCCCCCCATTGGGAGTCATGAAGACTTTGATCTGGCTCAAAGCTGCCACAGGCAAGGATGGGAACCCAGCGCTTCCAGGACGGCCTCCGAGCGTTACAACTGTGCAGTCACTTGTTCAACAGTACCGCCTGGATCTGATCGGAGAGACATTACTTTGGTGCATGACTTTCTGCTGGTGGAAGTTCTGCGCCCACCCTGCAGAAGCTGTACAAGAGTCTGACCAAAGATGACGCTACTGCAGGGATCCCAGAGTTGGCTTCCGCCTTTGACAGATATGCGTCTCAGCACGACTGCGTTGACTAAGTACATCACATGATCCGGACATGAATTGCAAACGCCTGAACAAGACTTGCAGGTGCACGGTCCGGGCAGATCCCCACTGACATACTACTTCGGGAGACTGTCCAGCCCCGCTTCTGGCCGGCCTAGGTCAACAGCCTCTCCGGCGCCGCAGTTCCTTGGCCAGGGCCTCAAAGCCTTCGCCGCCGGGCAGGGGTGGTAGTGCCCTGGCCGTCAACATGGCAATGCATCACTCACACTCTTTGCCCAGGTATAAACACATAAGTGCATGTTGTATGTGCATGCCTGTGCAAGCCATGCTGAAGAGGCAGTATACAACACCGGATAGGAACACGACCATGCCTCGCCCCCGCTGCTTCAGCGTCCTGATTATCTTGTTCGTTGATTAGTGCCTGCAGGCCTCGAGATTCGTCAATGTTCCTTCCCGAAGACATTGACGAGGTCACCATTCATTGCGAACGTGTGCACGAAGATGGGGGGTGTATTTGCACAATGCGTTGCGTCGCATGCGTTGCGAGCAGGCTTTCAGTGAGGCGACGACAGCGTTGGACCGGCATGTTTGGCACGACCACGCAAGGAGGAGGTTTCGTCCATGTCTTTCCGCTGGAGTCCAAGAACAGGCATGGCAACGGTCTTTTCTTGCAGGTCTGATGACCTCAACTCCTTAGTGCCTTTGGTGGCGAAGCTCGTGGCATGTGAGCAAAGCTACTTCAGCTGAGTATTGGTGAGTCTAGGGATCGCCAGTCAGAATAGCCCCGTGGGCTCTGCCAGAAGCCCAGCGTACATAGCCGCTATGTGATAGCGTCACTTGCATTGTTGTTGCTTTGTGTAGGAATTCCCCTGTTGGTCATCCCGTGGGTGTAGGGATCCATCTTGTGAGTGGAGAACCATCATGGCAGTTGTTGTGCATGGGGGTTGCTTCGGCAGCTGCAGTTCTTTGCGTTGGCTGTGTCCTCGCATCAGGGACGACTCGGGGTCGAAGAAAACTCAACCTGGGCAGGGCTCCAGGTTCGGAATTCTGTGTGGCAGCAGAAATCAATGTAGCTCGTCCTTGTTTGCATGGCCTTGGCCAAAAGGGTGAGGCATTTTACGTTTTGCTTTAGAGGTAGCCAGTGCTGTTGCCCCACAGTTCTAAAATTCCAACGGCTTTCGAGAAAAGAGAGGCTCGCTGTTCCTCAACACTACTTTTGGCGTGAAGTTGGGCAATGTCGGGGAATGTGCGGGTTGCTTTCTGCAACTCTCAATCCAATTCGATGGAGATTGCATCCTGACGAATTCGATGCACGCCCGGAATTTTCTCGTGTCTGGTTCCGTGCTCAGCCAGAGTTGTCAGTGTTGAAGCAAGAGCATTTCGAAGTTGTGCAGGATCGGCTATATGATCTCACGTCACACGCCAGTACTGGAATTGGTTGCCGCAGGCAAACTGTACAAATGGCCCAGCATGCTGCAGAAGGTCGTAACACGACCTTCGAGCGCTGGACGTCCCGTAGGAGGACACTAATGCACCTGGCCATGTTTGCAACAGGCCGAGCTGTACTCTGACCCAGAATGTCAAAACTCCACCGCCATGTGTAAGCATGTTTCATAGCGGTTTTTGCAAACATGTGCTCAAGTTTGGGGAGAGCACCAATACGTTTCAGCTCAATCCACGCTTCCAGATCTGCACCTAGCCAAAGCCACTCTCCAAACTACTAGAGCTTAGATCGTCTCACAAAAGTTGTCTGGGGCGGGCCCGCATCAGCACGATGGGCTGGTGATCAAAAAGTCGCCATGCAAGTCGACGCATGATAAGATGCTTCCACATCATAAGAATATGGCACTTCCCCACATTCAGGAAGTAAGCGAAAGCCTGATAATGCCAATGAGCACTAGGCTGAATACACCCCTGCACTTTTGCATGGCCTTCCTTCCCACGGATGCATCATGTCAACCTCTCACAGCGTTTGCAGCCTTTTTTTAACAAGTCCACCGGCTGAAAGCTGCGCAGATTTCTGCGAGGTGCAGATGCCGCACTACTCGGACTTACAGTCCTGGCTGGGTGGAATGATCGAGATCCTGGTGCTGGGCTTAGCGACAGCAACGGTTTCTACTCGTAACACATGCGTGGTCCCCAGCCTGTAGTGTCCACGTCCGAACCGGCCATGAATCAGGCCATGAACCCCCAAATGATAACCCTACAACATCCGGTAACAACCGAAAACCTCTCCGCCTCCCGACACCGCAAGAAGAAGAATAAGACAGGGCTTGCATTTTATTGCTCACCAAGAGAAAGCTCTCACACGGACTGGTGCGGGCAAAAAGAACAGACTCCACGGATCCCGCTCCCCCCAGAAGCACGGCTCGATGCCGGGCAGCGAGCCAAGAAGGATGAGGAGGAAGCTAAGGGCACCAGTGCCAAGAGCAAGGCGGCAGCAGCATGTTCGAGCTTGCCCTGGACAAAGCCTCCAATAGAGGTTTGGATGGAGGGGTGACACAGCCACCGGTGGCGACCCACACATCCAAATCTCGACGCTCTGTTTTGGCAGCTCACGAGGTGGAAGTAGCCCAAACAGATGCATGCCCCCCGCTGCAAATTCTTGACACGCTCGTGAGAGAGAGAGAGAGAGCGCGTTCTGGGCCTGATAATCGTGGCCCAAGTGATGTGTCGAATGCAACCGCTCGGAGCAGTTAGTGCTCCACAAGACGACCATTAGGGGAGCGTTGGCATATCTGGTGTAAATGATTCTTGGAGAACGGTTGCGACACGCGACAGGAACTAAGCTAATTGAGGGCCGACAGACATGCACATCCTCTGTCTAGGCCCTGGGCTCTAGGCACGGATCGTCAGATCGTGGCTATTGCCAGCGCCTAAAAGCGGCAGGACATTGACAAGTTCGATTTGCCGTGCTGTGCACACCAGCACTCCCGCCCACATGCCGAATCAGCAGCACTACCACCAGTCACTGGCCCGCATGCCATTCATTGAAGCACAAGCCTTCTGGAATGACCTCACAGCCGCACAGCGACGCAAGAACAGGCGTAAGGGCACCCACCATTCGATACTGAACTACGAGGATGGTCCGAAACCCTCGAAGCCCGAAGCCAAAGTCTCAAGCCTCTGTGTGTCAGTGTAAGCGTCAGGGCCCAACGCCTACGGCCCCGAAAGCTTCGGAAACAGATGCTGACTGCGGTTATCCTGTGAACAGCATTAAAAGGTGCAGTTCTCCTTTGGACTTTCCGATTATAACGCAGGCAGTGGTTGTGAATTCTTGGCGTATGCTCAGCAAGCAGCGAGAATCCAAGACGGGCCCGTGCACGAGTCGAGCTGTTGTTCAGACTGACACTTGCTCATACTTGCACCGCCTTTCACCCTCGGACTGTGCTGTTGAGCTTTGTTATTCTTTTGCAGTTCTTCGCGGACTACCTGCTGTCCTTCACTGGACTCAGCTTGCTTCGGAGCATGGTGCTCAAGGTGCGGGACTGTCGCTAGCCTCTCGTGGCTGTATGTGATTGTAGAGTTGTTTGTGAGCACAGGTTGATGAAAAGATCAATGAGATCAAGGAGAAGGTGGAGATGAAGGCCTTTTCGAACTTGCGTAGCGGGGCGGGGCCAATGTCTACAGGCATGCGCTGCATGAGTGTTTCGTTACATGTTCCATTCACCTTGTCACCAGGTGCTGGGTTCGTCGTCCAGTGTGGCACGAGAATCGCAGGCCGATTTCTCAAGCAGAGAACGATGGCGACAACAGGGGTTCCATGCTGCGGCGCTTTCATCCTTTGATGCTTGGGATTGCAGGCTGCTGGGGCGGAATTAAGACAACGACGAAAAATCGACGAGGCAGGTAACAGTGCTCTGCTCTCAAGCCCCAACCTGCCAATGCTGACTGAATTTACCACCTGATACAGGTAGAGGAGGCAATGGATCTATGAATTCTGTTCTCCCTGCTGAAAAATTGATGGTATCTTGGATTCGATATAGATCGGGATCGATCCGTATGAATCAGCCACAAGACGTAACAACAATACTATTGAAGATATACCTTGTTCGAACTACCACCTATCATTAAGATTCATTCGGATTCGGGTAATCGATGAGAAATGGAAATAAAGGTATCGAGAAAGGTGAATTCAGAAATATGAAATTTCTATTTCAATATTTTCTTTTGTAATATCTTTCTCTATCTACTAAAAATCTAAAAAAATATCATATAAAGGCAAGAAAATGCTAAAAAAATATGATATATTTATAAGTCTATTTCTAATATTTAAAATCGATTTCGTTGTTTGGATTGGTGGAAGCTTGATTTTTAGATAGGTTATTTCGAAATTATAAGAGATAATTATTAGTAAGTAAATATTATCTAGATAGATATATTTATTAAATAAGATTTCAAGAAAAAATAATTTAATATTTTTATGAGAGATTTATTTCTAATAACTTTTGATTTAATTTTAATTATATTTACAAAATTATTTTCGCGATTCTAAATATTCTTAATTTGAAATTTTCGATTTCGAAAAATTTAATTGAAATATTGAAAGCAATATTAATTAAATTTTAATAATATTTTTTATTAATAATTCTTCTTATAATTCGTCTATATAATTATGTATATACTCTCGGCCGCTTTTCTATGAGCGATCCTTAATATAAACGAACTATCGTTCTTCGATGATTTTTTTTATTCGCTCTAATTGAGAAATAGAGCACGACTCTTTTTTTAATTCATACTATTTTATCTATTTTAGATATTCTTTTTTCTCTTCCGAGCTATTCTTGCCCACCGCTCTTAACCTTTCACATATACACACACACGCTCCTTTCGATTCCACATTACTCACTCTCTCGCCCGAAACTTTACGATACTTTTCGACATACCTTCACTTACACTCCCATAACATATGTCGACACGCTTTTACCTATAACTTGGAAGCCCATATTTATGTCTAAAATTACGATATTAGATAGATTATACGATAGATGCAAAAAATCTTCAAATTATTTTACCATTTTATAAAGAATTAAAATTTAAAATAAAAAATTTAGAATAAATTATATAATATTTCGTTTTCTTTTTTATTTCTACTATTATATCCAGAGAGTCTAATATGAACGATTATCAAAGCCTCTTTTTAATCCGTTGACCCTATTAAATCCTTGCGCGTGTATGGTGCGCGTAACTTCCGCGGAGCCAATTGTCCCTTACGCGCGGGCCCTTGGGTCAGCTCTGAAGCTTTAAGCCTTCCACATTTCAAGTCTTGCGCAGGACTGAAACCCAAGTTTCCTGAGATTCTCTTCCGTGCAAGCGATTTGCGACATAGCGTAGGGCTAGTGACCTGGGTGGGTTCGTAATCTGAAGGAGTTGGCATTGAGCGCGCTGCCCGAGCTTTGACCATGACTTGTAAATGAGGCTCATGTTGTTAAGGACTGTCACCCAAAAGGGATATAAGATTGATGGAAATTGGAGGGCGCCCCTTATGCGCGCCTTCCGCGCGGAACCCAATCTAAAATTGAGTTTGGCGGATTTTCGTATCTGTGCTTCATATACGTACTACTGGTAGTAGTAGTCGTCGTCGTAGTATTGTAGTAGTAGCAGTTGTAGTAGTAGTGCCAGCAGTAGTGATTGTTACAATCGTTGTAGTAATTGTAGTAATAATAATAGTAGTAGTAGTAGTAGTAGTATCAGCAGCAGTGATTGTTGTAGTCGTTGTAGTAGTAGTAGTAGTAGTAAGAGTAGTAGCAGTAGTAGGAGCAGTAGCAATAGTAGTAGCAGTAGCAGCAGCAACACCAGTAGTCTACATTTCAATCGCCGTCCGACGATGAAGGGAGTACATGCAGGCAGCAAGCCCGTCGGCTTCCCCCCCTCCGTAAGTTCTTCATAGGGCCTATCGCCTCGTGCTCGGCTTGAACAACGACGGAAATAGCAGCAACAATAGTAGGAGCAGAAACAATATCAAGACCAAAAGCTGGAGCAGCAGGAGTGAGAGCAGGGGCAGGAAAGGACGAGCAGGAGCAGGGCAGGAACAGCCGTAAGAAGAGGAAGAACAGGAGTAAGGGAAAGGGCCGGAACAATAATACTGGGAGTTGGTCGTCGTCGTCGTCATCAACATAGGATCGTCTTTAGAAGATCTCAAAATATCTTTACGAAAACCCCCTGCCGTGCATCGAATTTTTAAGCAACCAATATGCAAACCTTATTTATATACGATTATTATTTACGCGCCCATTTATTAATGCCTACCCTAATCTTACTATCTCTTCGACAATTTAATTCTCCACTCATATAATTTCGCAATATAAATTAATATTATTATTTATATTTGCTCGAGAATTCCAGAATTTCATCAATACAAAACCTCACAAAGTTGCGAGACATAAAAAATATTATAATATAGAAATCATTTAAAACGAAAATCCTAAAATTTTGATATTTCACAATAGTTTTTAAATAGAAATATCTATAAATGTATCCACGATCTTAAAATCGCTTAATATTCGTAATTTCGTATCGGCAAGTAGCCAAACGCACCGACAGACACTCAGATATTCAGACAAATAGCGACACAAATAGACAGACACAAACAGACACACCATAATTCGGACGTATTTTAATGATCGTGCTTACAACGATAAAATCTTAAGTTACGAAATTCATGACACCGATAATCCAAATGCATTATTTCAAGCTTTAATTCGGCATTATCTTTGTTTAAATTAGATATAGATATAGATATAGATATAGATATAGATATAGATATAGATATAGATATAGATATAGATATAGATATAGATATAGATATAGGTATAGACATTTATATGTGCATCTCGAAATCAACCCTGAGAAAAATAGAGCGCATAGGGTAAAATTTAATGGAGAAATTTTGGTGTGAATATATGATATATGACTTATTTACCTTCGATAAAGACTACTTTTAAGCCTGAATTTTGTGTTTCGTAAGTCTTCTTGAATTTTGAAACGCAGCTTATTTCAAACCTCAGCGGCGCATGGTCTCGCAACGCTTCGGTCTTTGCTTGGGCACCGATAATTCGAGAAACAGACAACAGATCCAAATCTGTAAACCAGTACATTCACGATCGGATTGCTTACGCACGCGTGCTACAGCTGAACAGCAGCCTCAGGCTCGAAGGTCAGATAACTACTGTATTAGCATGATATCTGTTCTTCTGTGCACGTGTGCAAAAAACACGAAGAAGAATTGAAAAGTGTCGCAGGAGCCATTGAAAGCTCAACTGCGACGATGTGGATCGGTCTAAGTTACATACCATCCCTAGCATGTCTTCGAAAGCACATCCTCACACCGCGAAGGGCCTTTCGAAGCCCATGCGTGGCTCAGTCTACAGCACCGGCCCATCAGCCCTCTGTGCTTCCCCCTCCCAACCCGGCCTCGCCACAGTGAATGTGGCTTGTCCTCTTCCGCCAGTCGAAGGTCAAGGGGAGCGGCCAGCCGCACTGCATCATGCTGCAGCTTCATCAGCGCCTCGCGTTGTCGAAGCCGGCTGAAGCACCAAAGGCCAGTCTGTGCCAGGAACAAACCCATGCCACCCGTGAGCCTGTGACCGCTCTCGAGGTGCTGATGGCGTCCTGAAATGCGTGGAAAGGACCTAATCCTTGCCAGCTTCACAAGAAAGAGCCAGACCAACAGCCGGAACAAATTTTGGGCTCTGGTCGGGGCTCGGCTTTGCAAGCAGCCTGTCTTGGCTCTGGCCGGTGCTACACCATTATCAAAAGGGCACTACCGGACCTCCCTCAGCCTCGGAGGACGACTTCTTTTGAAACGCTGTACAGCAAATCTTCCGCGCACAGGCGCTGGGCCGGTCATGGCGCTGCTGGCCAAGTGGATGAGGCCTGCTTCTTCCTGGCCAGTCTCTCGGCAGCGGGTGGCAGTAGAGTAAAGCACTCGGACTTCGCACACCTTAGCCCAACTCTATTGCGAGAGCTGTGCTCCTCCTCCCGTACGGGATTCGGCGACGCAGAAGGCGCTTGGCCTCGAAAGTCCACTGTCAAGCATGCTCGCTGAGTGCAGCTGCGACCTGCCAATGCTCCATGCAGAGGCACAGGCACTTATTCTTGTCTCCATGAGGTAGGTTGCCACGAACGCGCGGCGGCGAAGCAAATAGCTCCTAAGGCATCACATGCAGACACGTCCCTGCCACTGTCAAGCACGGAAGTCGTTGCAATTCTTCGGTTTGGTGCTTTCCCCAGGCGTGACGCACGCCACGACCGGGTCACGGCAGAGTCCTTGCAATAGCTCCGTCCGCAAGCGGACGCCGCCGCCAGAGTACACATTACAGACGCTTTTCGGTCCGTTTCGCAAGCAGGCACTGTCGGCGTGGCCACAAAAACACATAGCACAGGAGGCGATTTTTGCCTGATCCGCAAGTAGACACCGCCAAAGTGGTCCCAAGCAACATGTATTGCAGGCATAGCGTTCTGCTCGTGAAAATGGCTCTTGGTCATCCCGAACTGCTACGAAAAGCAGGATTCATACTCTTTAGCTGGGGGGTTTCACTCTGTATCCCGCTCAGCCTTGGAGAAGCTTGCATGTGCTGTCCCAAGTGTTGCACCAATCTGCCCCTAAACCTTATCAAGGTTTCAATGTTCGGCAGGATTGAAACGCACGACGGCCTGGTTTTCCGGTGACGAGGACGTGGTGACTGAAATCCTCTCGCCCTACAAGTGATGCTCTTGTCTCTCGGCTGCAAAGTTGCACCGGTGGAAAGGCAAGCATCTGACTTTCAACAGCCATAAGCTGTTCGCAACTAAGCTCGGTACGGAGTGAAAGTCCGGAACTGGGCGTGGGAATCCAGTGTCAGGCAAGTCACTGCCTTAGCAGAGGCTGAGAAGCTAGCACCCAATAACAGCGACAACTCAAGTTTGGAAACAAGCCCTGCGTTGGCATCTGGGTATGAATTAGGATAACTAGGATTGTGGCATAGCCCAAGTCCTCTCCCACACGCTGGATTTCTTTGCGGAGCCTGACAACAGCGCTTGCCAGGCTGTCCCGTGAGTTTTCCCAGGTAAGCCTGCCTAGTGATGTCCACGGCCGTGGTATCAAAGCGGATGCGAACGCGATTCTCAGCCTTGGAAAGTCAAGAGAGTAGGCTTGGTGTATTTCGACGATCGCAGACATTTGTGCACTTCGGGCTTAGTTCAGCACCAACGGGCCGCCTGTGGGGCACGGGACGAAATCGCACTTCCCGCTGTCAGCACCTTTAATCTTCGAGCGTTTCTGCTTCCGACTCGGAACGCAGCGATCCCTTTCCCAAACGTCTCTGAGCCATATGCTGCCACTCTGGACGTGCAGATTAGACCTCAAGCAGTGTTGCTACAAAGGCCGCTTGAGGTACATGTGATGGCCGATGCTGTCGCGCTTTAACACGCAACCACCTCCTTGAGCTACGGGCACACTGACCCCAAATTGAGTCAGGATTTCCTCAGGTGACTGTGTATTGTCAAAGATTGGGTCATTCCGTTATTCCCCCTGCTGTGTGCAGCTTTGTGGCTGTAATTTTGGCCAGCTGTCCGGACCTATCGACGCCAAACCTGACATCAGGGATTGCCGAAAACAACGGGGTCTGCACGCAAAAGATGCAATCCGAGCGCCGTGCAGATGCAATGTGCCGTTCTGCTGATGGCTGCCGAGCTCCGTCAGACAACGTTCTGCGAATGCCAAAAAGTGCCGAAAAGGATACACTCTCCTTTCGAACCCCGCCCAAAGGCTAAAGCAGAGCAACGATATCTGCCAAGTCCACTACACTCCTCAAACTTCCGACAGGCCCGGAGCCGCCGATGCCCAGCCTATCGATGATCTTTTCGGTTCCGCAGAACTTAGGCTGGCCTCGGTCAACGAATAGCTCTTGCTTTGCCACTGCATAGCTGACTAAGTGATGCTATGGGTGATGGGGGCATGCCCCTGGAGGGATGGTGGATAGGGAGGTTGGGAACAAGTCGCACGTTTCGCTGATCAGGTCGGGCCAACTATCGCTGCAGAAGTCAACTCTTTTCTTCACTCACTGCAGCATGGCAGCAGTTACAATATACCATGTCTAGGCAAGAGAGTCAGAGATGGTTGACTGGGGGGTGATCCAAGCAGAGAAGGGCTGTGGTACCTCCCATCCTCCCACATAATTATGAGGATTTCTTCACCACAACTGTTTGTGTGCAATCTTGTGCGTCCAGTGTAAGTTCGTCGCAGGTTGACAGTGGGGCATGATGCTCGTGGAAAGCGCGGCGCACCACCCGATGCCCATTTTGCACGGTTGTGGTTGAGTGAATTATCACGGTGTGCAGCAGTTCTCCGCGAAGTCAGTCTCGGCCAAACCATGGATTCACACCTACTTCGTGTGCCCATCCCGACCTGGACTGCACGGCTGAAGGGTTTCAAAAAGGTTGGGTGGCCGTGTGAATCAGGGGAATGGAGGCCCTGGTGGACGCAAACACAGCGAGAGACCCAGCTTTGGCCAGGGCTCTGACCGTGTAAACTTGAGCAGGACTCTCAGTCTGCAATAGCTTCATCAATGTCTGCACACGGTCCGCTGGGAGGATTGCCTGATCGAGTCCAATGTCTACAGCAAAGCCTCCAACTTCATGCACGGGCTCCAACACAGCAATCTGCAAACTTGTCCGCTTTGTGCCTTGACGAACATGGTGCAGCCCAAATGGGTATCATCTGTGGTCTCCTCCTGTCAACGCACTGGTGCGCACAACGACGCTTTGACAGGGACAGTCGAGGCCAAAGCAGTGAAGACTGCGGGAGAGATGCAGGCTCCGAAGGCACTGACCTTCAATCAACGTGAAGAATGTAGCAGGGTGCATTGTGAGGCCATCCTCCTCGAGGGCAGGCTCTAGACTCTAGACCGGTCACCGAGGAGCAAACTGAAAAGCTTTGCACCTGCCATACAAGACGCTACACGCTGCACGTTGCTTCGCTGCAGGCGTCTTGAAACGCTCTTCTCCATCTGCTTGAGTTCGGTTGTGTCCGATACACAAGATAAAGCCAGTGTAGACAGGACCGCAGAAGCATTCTCGACAAGAACTGAAGAAGTTTGGATGTTGACGACAAGTTTACACATCGCAACAGGTCTGCCAGCCACGTAAGCCCTTACCGGCCTGCTTGGCATCAGGATCTCCATCATTCTGCATCTGCACGAAAGTGCCTCCGCAGGTCTCGATGTTGGCCCCGGCGATGCTCATGACCTGAGTCATCTCTTGCTGTGCAAACCCCATCGCCCCCAGAAGGCACAGATCCGGCCAAAGCTTTGAAACCATCACTTGAGCGTGCTGCTTTCGCCAGGCGGTTCCAAAGCTCACTGCCGTCCAATGCCAGGACCTCTTGCGAGCCAACTCTTGATAAATCACGACGCGATTGACAGACCATCCCAGGCTTGCAAAGAAGAAACCAGAGCCACACCGGGCTGCGCTGACACAGTTTGCTCTGCAACCAGGCTGTCACCTTGCCCGAGAAAGTGAGGATAACTCTCTTCTTCTCCTGGCCACATGCGAAGAACTCAAGCCCTCGAAGGAAGCGCCGCAGTCCGACTCAGGCCCACCAGGCCTGCACCTCTGCAGCGACCGCTGCGGAGCCTTTGGACGCTTGGGAAGCGTAACCTGGAAGAGGAACTGCAGAGCATGGCAGCAGCGTGTTAACAACACGTCTTCGAATACTCGCAGGCCAGGAAACAAGCATCATGCCAGAATCCCAGATATCACCCGCTACTGCCGCTCTGTAGCAACACATGTTTAACTCAGAGGCCCGTGCATTGCCGAAGAACCCGAAGGCGTGGCCGCAAGGCGAAAGCCGAGAGGCAGCACCGCCGTGGAAACCACATCAACGCTCAGTTTGCCATGGCCATGATCGGATCAAGAAAACTGCTCACGGCATGATGTGACCGCAATGTTCAAATGCTGCTACCCAACTGACCATTCGACCATGATCATGCTCCAGCTGCGAGTTATTTCCACGAAATGCTGATCCTCGCACCCCTTGTGGTTCCGACGAGTACAGGCTCACACAGTGCGGAAGGCCGCTCACCGACCGGCTCCAACACCTGCTGTGCGCTATAACGCTTGCCTCATCATGCTATCAGCTGCAGTTTGAGCCTGAACACGAGATGGCACAGCGCATAGTCCCGTTTTCTTGTCGATCGAGCTCATGTGCCATGTGCGAAGTGGCGCCAGCCTGTGTGACAGCGGCAGCGGCTTCGCGCAAAGCAGTTTCCCTGGACACTGGAAGCCGTGAACATGATGTGCAAACCAAGTCAACAACCACGCCAGATACGTCAACTCAACTGTCCTTCATACAATACCAGGCAAAGGCTGACACTGGCAGAAATGCTTAGGGTTGCAGCCGATTCTTCCGTATTGATAGGAAGAATGACGACTGGTTGAAATTAGACGGCCACTGTGGCTGCATACTAGTTACTAGCTTGCCCTACTCTCTACTGTAAACTGTCTAGCAATGCCTTTAGTAGAATTAGAACATAGGCTCCTCCCTCTCGGGTGTTCCGCAAAGTCAAGCCGCGAATCGCCACGTAAGGTCGCAGCTCTGCGGAGCTGAGGACACGAGAGTGTTGGCTCTCCTGGACATGTGTCTCTTCGAAACTGACTGAGTGAGGACTCTACAGCTCTGTCAAATGAGAATCATGTCCGACGGAAGATTCTTGGGGAAGCCAGTCGCCGAAAGACCACACATGCGCAAACGTCGTCCACCTCATTCCTCTCGGGATCTCGCTCCACAGGCCTCATTTATCGCTCGGTACTTGCTTGCTACAGCGCTGCAGGACCGCTTTCGCTGAACTTTGCTATGCTGAGCTCTGAGCTTTCCAAGCCATGACCTTGCAGTCAGTGTGGCTCTCTGCTTTTTCCTTGCCTAAGACTCCTCCTCTTCCCCTTGCGGGGCCCTGTCCGGTGTGCCTCCATTGGGCGTTGGGGTCAAAGCTCCCCGCCAACCCACGCCAGCGCAGCAGCACAGGCCATGGACGGCACGCTCTCGCGCGCTGCCCTCGCTCGTTAGCGCGCACTGGGAACTTCAAGGTCGGCGTGAAGCTTTGCCCGTCACCCCCAAGCCGCCTGATGGCTCGGCACCAAACTCCCAAACGGTGAGTGCTGGTTTCCTTTGGTTTCCGTCACCAGCCTGGGGTTCCTGCCGATCACTAAGTGCCATCGTTTGGGCCAGTCCCCTTCTGTACTTGTAGCGACTGGTCGCGTGCTCTCAGGCTCATGACTATTGCAATAATCTGCGTCGACAACACCTGTGGCTCTCTCGCACTCTCCGCGTCTTGCTCCACTGCGTGGAGCTGCTCTGCAATCGCAGATGGTGGCTTCAAGATTCCGTGCATCAGGCTCCGGCACACGCGTCTCCGGGAAATATCCGTGGCGTTCTGGAGATCCGACAACGCGACCTTTTCGAAAAGGGATGGGCAAGGAAGGACTATATATGAAGTCCGGCTGGCCCATGTGGTGAGGACTTACCAAGACGCTCGTGAGGCTTCGGCCGTACACCCAGCCGCCGCCACTTGCTGCAACCTGATTAGTGGTATCCCTCAGATTTCTAAAGGCCTGCAATGCCACACTGCAGCATGAACATCCCAGCCTCCACCACATCGCCCTGCCAGGTTGCAGCCACTCACATCAGTTTACACTTTCTGGCAGTGCCGAGTTCACAGGGAATCTTGACGCGCCTCTGCTAGCGCAAGGCAACTTTCAGCGAATGCCACCTCCGAGCTTAACTGTCAATGGCGTGTAGTTTCAAGCACCGTGGTGTTGGGCCAGCAAGGGCGCTAGCACATGCCGTGGAATTCCTGCAACTCTCGCCAGCATGCACTAGCTCGAACAAAGAGTATTCCATTGCCACTGGCGTGCACACCCCTGGTGGGGAAGGCAACAGCAAACGATCTCAAGTCGTTTTCCCTTTCTCAGCCTACGGTGCAAAATTGGTGCTGCTATGTGAGGGAGCGGCTTCGACCTGGACGATCTAGTCATGTGTGGCGACACGAGAGGCTGGCGCAAACGCCAGAATTGACGATTGTGAATTGTTGGGAAATGTGCCTCTTCCTCCTTGTCGCCAGGACCTGCTAAGTAACGGGGCTTCTAAGCCGAGCTATAGCCGTTCGGCTGGGCTCGGAGCTTCCCGGCGAGTAGTTCTCCACAACCTTCACGAGCCTCAGGTAGCCGCCAACAGCTGAACGCACATCCACTTGCCCTAGCACATCTGAGATCCAGGCACACCGCGGTCAGTCCTGAGCGAGTAAACGCCCAGGGCACGCGGTTTGACTGCTAGAAGGACATCATAGTGCAAAGGTTCCGGAGGCGCCGCCTGAAAAAAGATTTCCATACTGCAGGAGCCTTTGCACGACACTTCATACAACACGCCAGTGCAAGCCAGTTTCTTCGCTGCTTCACCATTCTCTTCGCAAGTTCCTTATCACACGGAATTGATGCTGGCCGTCACATGTTGCGTGGGTCTCTGGCGGAACACAGACATGCACATATTCATGGCTGCCACGACTGGCTCCGACGCCTCTGCCATCCCTCTGGTGGTCTGCTGTCGGTGCTGAGGAGTGCACCGAGCCAAGTTGCTCGGTTCTCTGGAAAGTAGCCTGCTCGCTCTGGGTGCCCTGCCACCTGATTGAAATTCCGGCACAGACGGTTTCCGCCGCAGGTTCGAGGGTTGCAGTGAGCAACCCTCTGATTGTCCGGAGGGCCACGAAGTGCTTACAACGGTTTCTGTATCGACGAAGCAGTGCTGAAAAGAGCAGCCTGGCCGTAGAGCCAGCCGGAGCCACCGGCCAAGACCTGCCGCATATGGCAATCTGAAGCAAAGCGCTGCAAGCTCAACGGCTGCGACAAGCCTGCACACTACACCTCGGGCTCCTTATTCCGCGTGCGGAAGCTCTGCAATCCCGCCTCAACCATTTCACCTGCTTCGAGGTGCAGGCCTGAAGCGCTGTTTGTTCGTGCAACGGCAGCCGGTGAAAAGGAATGAGTTTGAAAAATGCTTGACACATTCCAGCACCATGAAATGCCCAATTTCGTCCGTCCTTCAGAGAGCCACCTACTAGTATTGAGATGTTGACCTGTCTATCTGTTCTGTGCATTTGTCGGTCTTTGTCTCGCTCCCCATCCACCCTTGTACAATCAAGCCTGACTGTGCATCAGTTGTCATTGCCATGATAATACTGGTGTAGACAGCAGAAGACAGCAGTAAGTTGCGTGCAGTTCTCCCGCAAGTTCTCGCACTCAGCGACATCTTCCGGGGTGAACCTCATGAGACAAACTTGGAAGGTTCAGATCACGACGCCTGACCGACATCTCACAAGAAGGTAGCTAGCGTCCTTGATTGCACTGCCCAGTAGTCTGGAATCCTGCTTTCGTAACCGTAACAGCTGTACAGGTACGAGTACCTGGGAAATGGAGTTGAATGGAGCCCATTACCATCTACGAACACGTCACTACGGCCCATCCATTCTGAACGAGAGTATACAAGAGTCCTACAGTAAGACCCAGGCCCGTGATCCACGAAGACCAAAGCATGCTGGTCTGCGCAAGCGACCTGCACCAGTTGCAGGCATTTCTGAGGAAGCCTGTCGGTTGCATGATTTGGGAGTTCTTTACCGAAGGCTGTCGCTGCTCCAGCCTCCGCACGAGGAATCTTGCCGATCCATGACCTCGATAGCTCAGTGAGTTAGAAAAGCTGCCAAGTTGGGATTCCTTCTGCACCAGTCAATGGCAACTGGCCCGTTGCACTGAGCAGTCTTTTCGCAGTGTTTCGCAGGTTTCTCAGCGCATGCCGGGCGGGTATCTTTCGCTTTACATTGTGTCCTCAGCATGTCAGTATGCAGCAAGCTCGCGCCAGAAACAAGATAGCTGCTCTGCAATCATACGAACATTTGCGACATGCTTGTTGTCAGTAGCATTTAGGCTGGTAGCGCCGAATGGAGTCCTAACAGAGACGCTTCCTGCAACAACTACGAAACAGCTCATCCTCTTCTTGGAGCTTGTTGCTCCGGTCAATGCCCAAGACAAGAACAGAGTTCTCAAATCATCGGGGCATCAGGCTGCAAGCCCGAGAGCCGCACGCAAATCTTTCAAACCACGTCCCACACAGACGAGCGAGTGAACCAGCAATATCATTGCTGTGCAGAACTTAGCAAGCCCTGCTGGTGCTGTATATGCTGGAAATCATGCTCAAGCTATGCTTGCCTTCAGTTGCTGGAGCATCGCACAGGCATTGAACATCCTTTTGGAGACATGACCCGGATTGTGATCGGCCCGGATGGCCAAGTCAAAGTCTGTACGTAGCAACTTTGCAGCCTACCGCCAGGGGAATGTCCGCTCCGGTTTAACAGAGCTGGGATCCTCAAGCGGCCTGTGGTGAGGATGGCACCTTGACTCTTGACGGTCTTCGGGCTGAGTATGTCGCTCTGTTCGTGGATTCTGTGGCACAGCATTCGACACCCCCGAATGACAGGTAGCATCGGAATCAAATCACAGGCCGATGTCAGCATGAAGTGCTGAAGGGCAATCTGTGGCTAAGCACTTCAAATAATCACAGAGGTTCCTGGGTGCCGACTCCTTCGACTGCACTGACTGCTACTGGTAGCTTGGATGGGAGCAGGCGCACGAACCATCGTCTGGCATGTATGGGTGTCACTATGAAAGTCACCTGAAAGACCGGAGCCGGAGCTTGTCGAGGCGACTCTGCGCACCCGTGGCTCCAGGAGCCTCCCTTTTTTCACATTTCTCTGGGCCGGGAACAGTCGAAATTTTTCGCTGGGAGCCCTTCGTTTTGTAAGCATCCGTGTGCCGAGCCATCGGAGGGCACCAACGAGTAGAAACATGCGCAGACAACAGGTGACTTACATTGACTTACATCTCCCAGTACCTTGCTCCCGGAAAGTTCATGCAAGTCTTGCATCTGTGTCCTGGGTGCTCCAAGAAGCCAAGACACCGGGGTGCTACACAAACATCTACCAACCACGTTACACCCTGCACAGTTGAAAGTCTAATTACGCAATCGAGACACTTCCATCGAGGAAGGGCCGCAGTGATGAAGCATACCCGGCATGGCCCACTGTTGAAGGCTCGTCTCCAGCCGATGCAACCATTACCCACGCACAACCTCTTCTTCACTGGAGCCCTTCTGTACATGTCATCTTTGCACGGCCTTCTAGCCAAAGATGGACAAAGCATGCGTGGTGCACGCTCTCCACCGACAGTCACTTTCCAAGGATGAGCTTGGAGACGTCCTGTACAGGTATACTTGGCGGACAAATGGAGCTTCTCCTTGGCCCTGAAAGCTTTGCATGCTGGAAGGGTCTCGCATGGTTCCGCCTGTCAGCAACACACCTGTGTGCTTCATCTTGCAGATTTGACACCCCCCTTCGCTGAGGCCTGGATGATCTTGGAAGGGCGCCTGGCACGGTTAAAGTGCTCTATCTCTTGCTTGCTTGCTTGCTCTCGCAGAATCGGGGTCGTCAGCTGCACACACTGGCCAGCTGTGTTCTGCACAACCATGACTCAAGAGACCAAGGGGGCCGCAACGGTCAGGGTTTGCCAGAGTGGATGCTCCGGAAGTCTGGGAATGGCGCATGCGTTCAATATGTGACCGTCAACATACATGTAGAAATGGGCTGTGCCTGCTCTTTTTGCATCCGGTCTGCAGCGACTCTACCGGGAAAGACGTGTATCCTCGCTATCCTCGCTTTGCATAGGACAAAGAGGCTTCACAAACTAGTCATTATGCTGTTGGCGCTCTCGTCGTCTTTGCTGTGCCTGCTCTGCAACTATGAACCAATGAAGACCCCGGTGGAGAAATGCAGGTGTCGCTTTGGGTAGCCCTGCTTCTGCTCCAATGCGCGGTGATGCTGCGGTGCCTTCCCAATGAGTTACGGCGCCTCTTGTCCTCAAGTTCGTCAACAATGGCCTGCGTCGGCTTCTGAAGACCGGGGGAACTTGATGTTCTCAGCCCATACATTATCCTGCCGGGGCACAGTCTCGATCTTGGAAGGTCGCCGACTCCATCCGCGAGAGTCCGATTCTTCCTTTGAGCGATTTGCAGCATCTCGTCGCAGGCATCAAGGCAACGCAGGTAACAGGGCCTCTGGTCATGCGTGCTACATCCCATTGACAGATCTAGACGGAGTTTGGCCTGGGTGTCAACATCTGGAGCGATGGCCTCACGCCAATGCCCTGGCATTCACAGCTTCAGTTCCAGGTTCCTACACCAAGCTTCCTGGCAATGCTGTTGCTCAACAGTGGCAAGACGGATGCATGCACGTGCGCTGGCATTAAACAGAAGAATATTCTGGCACATCCCGGAATTCACCTGCAGCAGGTTCTTTCTTCGGGTCGTAGTTCACCATGTCAAAAGGAAGGGCATCGCGGTAGTTCACTCCGAGTAGAGTGCCTGGCATGCTCGTTGCTGCAGGGAAAAAAAAGTCACGCTCAACAACACCGTTTCACCTCTTCTGCCTGGAAGTTGCTCTAAGCTGCAGCCATGTCACCGGCAACCATAGCGGAGAGGAAACGTTCCAAGCTACGCAGACTTGGTAGAGCCGTGATCACTCCAAGGGCTCGAGCCAATCACATTTTTGTACCGCAATCTCTGGCCCAGCCCACCTCGTGATTGTCTAGCCCGCATATCCATATCCGCCTGCATCTTAGAGACTTGCTGAGGAACTGGCACTCGGTTTTCAGGGAAGTAGCCCATGCGAGTGATGTCTCCACTGCCTCACACATTGCGGCTGTTTGCTGTTCTGTGCTTCGGCACAGGCGGAGGTTGATAATCTAGATGGCCAGCCTGAAATGACACGCCCATAGAACCATCCACCGCCGCCTTGCACAAGGCGATGCGAATGCATGGGCCATTGACAAGCCAAACGTTTGCGCCACGAAACTATGCGGGCTTTAAGTAACAAGTCAATGTCAAAGTCAACCCTCACGGAGCACCAGTTCCCAAGGACAGGACAGCGGTGCAGTCCAAAAGGACTCATAATATGCCCTGCCTGCAATAACTTCTACGATGTCTCCTTCGGAGAGATCGAGGCAGCTTTCTCGGAAAACCTTTCCGCAAAGGCAGACGCTGCAAACCCAGTGTACGAGCATGTGAGTCAGAAGTTCGGAAGACTTTGTGGTCTTCTTGTTCTAACTTGTGCAGGATCTAGCTGACTCTAGCGAAAGTATACTGGAAACACAGTAAGTCCCTTTCTGGCAAAGTTGCTTGGACGATTGTATATGTATGATGTATGTATGTATGTACAGATGTACGAGCTGTAGACTCGACTGTTGTGAACCTTTTCTCACATAACCGTCTCTCCACTCTCCGCCACTTAATCTGCGATTGAAAGCTAAAACATGCCTTGTCGTCTTCCACGTCCGCAGGTGCAAAAGCCCACGCCACACTTGCTAGAACCTTGTCGGCTTCAAGGGTTCGGGTTCACTGCGAGCGAGCGAGCGAGAGAGAGAGGGAGAGGGAGAGAGAGAGAGAGAGAGAGGGAGAGAGTCTGTCTGCTTGATGGCTCTGTGGACACACTGTGCTCGAGCAGATGCAGAGGTTTACTCAGTTGGACCGCTTCAAACTGGTGGAGCACCCATCGCTGGAGGGAGGAACGCGAAAGCTCAGCTACGAACCCTGTCTACATCCGGACTTTGTGCTACTTTGTGCTCTTCCTCTGAATCCGCCACGACCTGCCGGGAGTCAAGCTTCACCGCACTACAGGACACGAACAGCTGAGATAAATTCCAGATTTTTCTTCAGATCCTGGATCAGAAATCAGACGCAAACGCATTCATCGTACTACTCGCTCGCGCACCCAAGCAGAAAACAAAACGCGTTGACTGCCGGTACCTTGAGTCGGGCTCGCCGGGCTTTGGCCTCAGTGCTCACGGCAGTTGTGATGCATGTTCGTGAGTGTGACCTTTCTAGGTCCAGTTAAAAAGGGAGAAGCTAGAAGCCCAGACATGATTACAAGCTCTGACTTGCCAACGGCGACAGCTTCTCTGTTGACTGTGAATGCAGCTGGGCGGCCATTAGATGCAGGAATCGGGCTATCGGGAAGAACCGCCAGGCAACGTGGCGTCTATCTGGAGTCTGGAGAGCTCAATGCCATGAGTGCCGTGCCCATGCGCTCACTGCAAGTGTCGAAGCGAGGACCAGGACAACGGCAAGGATCCTGAGCAGAGCAAGGCATTGGTCACCCCTCGGTCATTCGGGCAGTTGAGATCGCAGCAGGAAAACAACGAACACAGACTGATCGTCTGTCTCGGGCTCGTCGACAGTTTGCCCTCAGAAGGGTGCAGAATCTTGAATGCCATGTCAAGTAACAGGTACTTGGGTGATCGTCCGCATGTGCACGAGCATGGCAACACCTCACTTGAAGTCCCGTGCCTCCTGTCCAAGGTCGAGGCTGCGTATCCTTAGTGGTCGGGCATTATGCAGAGCAAGTATGGCAAATCCTTTCGTCTGGGTTCCCCAAGCTTGCTGATGTTCTCTGCTGTGCTCCCGGCATTGCCCGTTCCAGAACCTTGGCGAAAGCATACGGGCTACTCCGACTGTTCAACTGCTCGGGTCTCGTGAAACCAAGAGCATGCATCAGGGACTGTGTTTGAGGATCAGAAACGCTCGAATCATTGCCGTGTTGACCTTTGCTATGATATCGTGATCCTCGTGTTCTTGTCGCCTCTCTTCCGACTACTTGTCTCCATACTAGTCTTAGTCGCACCATTAGCATAACCGTTCGTAGTGTATGCTGATGACGATCCCGGTCTCGTTGCTACTAGTAGTTTTCGTGATGGCATAACAGCAGTACAGCAGCAGCAGCGAACGTGACAGGACCAAGAGTAGGACTAAAGAACAATGGTGTCGACCGTCACAGCAAGAAGATGAGAGACACAGGAAAAACCGATGTGAAGCTGCTTGGGCTCCGGCTTCCGCTCCCCGCGTCCGTTAGATTCACAAACTCCAAGACGGACAGCGTAGCCCCTGTTCCGGCCTGACATGCTGTGCTGGCGTCTAGAACTACGTGCACACAGTATACATGTAGTGTGGTTAAGTATAAAGTTCTGAATGATGCAGTATAGTTAACACCATACATAAACGCGCACACACACACAGAGACATATTAATATGTCTATGCAGATACAAGATTACAACATGAATTCATGCACTGCTTTCAATCGCAGGCAATTCAGCTGGTCTATGCTCTGGGGACCACACACCAAAGGCTCCATATGTCTGCAACTGGCGCAGATCAGGGTCCGCAATGGATTTCATTGAACGGCATGTCATAGCCCGACTCTTGAGGACTCGACCTTTGAGATAAAGGCGAACTCAAAATCCGCAGGGTCAATGGCCACCTGTCTTTATGGTTGTAGACACATGCTCGAAATGCACGTCTCATGAAACTCACAAAAAGACCCTGCAATCATGGTACAGGTTCCATTGGGACGGAGCAGAGGTCGAAGTTCATGTCAAAGATCAGCAGAGTAGTTGGCGCCTCATCCATCTTACACTTGCCAGACCGCAACTTATTGGCTTGCTCCCTCAGCACATGGCAGTAAGGTCCGACAGCTGTGCCATCGCTGGGATGAGCTTGACCTCTGAAATGTTGACCTGGACAGGCCAGGGCCCGAAGATGGTGCAGCGTGCTGTACGAAGCGCTAGCACCGGACACCACTGCCTCCGCAGCAGACGGCAGGCCCGCTGCGGCGCCTAAAGCGACGAGCTGCTGCAGCTTGGCCTCGGCTCCATGCTTTCGATGGCCCTGAAAGGCGACGCAAAGAGTGACCGCCCTCGAGCTGAGGTGCAGATGCCACTCCTGCCTGCAAGTCCTGCAACAGACGAAAGCATCAGCTCGTGCCCAGAGTGTCACAGAAGCTACGCTACTTGCATGCGACACTGTTCACCGGCCTGCCCCGCGAGCTCAGGAGAGGCAAAAGCAGCAGCGGTTATGGTGATGTTGTACGTGGCGGTGCACTGCGAGGCAAGCACAAACAAGATGCACATGTCAAACCCATGTTGGCGGCCGTCATGCTTCATTTGTGCACTATGACGGAGGTGCAACAAGTTTGTGCCAAGCTCAAGAACCTTTCACATTTGCAGGACTGCAGGAAGCGAGTGCAACAAAAACGGGATACTTTTTGTCACTTCAAAGCAGGAAGAGCACGAGGAAGTATCCACATGCCTGGCAAGTCTTTGGAAGGAGTTTGCCCGAGTTTACCCTTCAAGCTTCAGACTTGTTTCAAACGGCAAACAGTTCCTTTAGCGGTGGAGGGGCCTTCTGGCAGTCAAGACTCCGACCAGCTGCCTAACCTAGCCCCCGCAACATGCATAGGGCACGTGGATGGAAAGCCGCGTGCCCTGTCCGGTCTGCGGTCTCTCGGGCATCCGTGAGGCCAGGCCTAAGCCGTGGCTGTCAAATGTTGGCTGCTTTGATCACGCTCCCGCAGTGTGCGATCCTTTTTGGTGCCGCATGGTGCTTTAGCTCATGTGGCAAAATGGTTCACGTCCGGCACACATACTGGGAAGATGTGGCCACGAGAGACCATTCTGTGAGCCGTGTCCTTAGATCCCGGCCAGGAATGAGCTTAGCGCTGGGTAGAGGGGTCGTGCCGAAAATGCGTAATTCTCCTTACATGTTTGGTGGTCTGCGACAGGTGATACCTGTAGTCAGCAGGGCCACATCAAGCAGGAATCATACTCGGACAGGATCGGACAGGGTTCCCGTTATTATTGGCCAAGGATCATCACCCACTTCACAAACGCACGAAAGCTGCTCTCCGCTCAGAGGAGCTGGTCTTAACCAGTCTAGCAAGACGAAGTCAGGGTTGTTGCGCGGAATGCTCTTCACGACCTGGCTGCGATTGGGAAGGCCGGCATGAGGCATTTCGCGTCCCAGCTTACTCTCACATCTAAAGTCGGAAATTGCATAAGCGCGTCTCTCCTTTCCTTGCTGGATGTGCACTTGAGTTGCGTGTCAATCAACACCAGCCGCGATTGTTCGGATGTGAAGCTCACAGCATCCTTTTGGACTGATATCTTTGCTCACAAGTACTAAACAGAACCGGTTCTCGTGCTTATCCACTGCAGAACAGGCTCCGCATCGTAGGTCGCCCCATCACCAGCCTTGTGTTTCAAGGCTCACCCAAATGCCATTTATGCAACCACATGCCGTTTCTGCGCGAGTCCGATTGGGGGAGTCTTCTTTCCACCTCCTGGAGCCCCTAATGCCCAAAGTGTTCAACCACCCGCAGACCTTTCCCGACACCTGAATCTGTTACCTTCGCATGTTACGATTAAGTTTAGCACTGCAACTCCCTGGAACCCACGGATGACCCCCTACGACTGTAGTCTACGAAGAGCAAGAACATATACATCTATTTATAGACCCCCGAACTCTGCATGTCCAACCTTCGGGTTTGGAGGGGCAATCACGTACCCCCGACGCGCTCCGCTCCTTCTCGAACTCGGGTGAGGGGGGTGGCAGCAGGATGTCCCATGTAAGCTGCAGCTGCATGAACACGATTTTAGAGAAGTTGAGTGTGGAGCAGCTCGCCTTACTAGAACCTCGAACGCCATGCGAGAGAGAGAGAGAGACTTCAGAATAGAATTTGAGAGAGAAGCACAGCCAGTGTGACCACGCTGTAGACACTCTCGGAGTAAGAGCAGCCAGTTGTGTCAACATTCTGCATAGAAACAACGAGTTTTACACAAGAGCTACACATGCAAAAGAATACCACGAGAGAAGCGACCTGCCAGCCACATGTGAAAAATATTCGGGGGCAAACGAGCGATGCAGCCACGGGAGAGAGATTCAGGCCTGTGGAACGTGACCTATATATTTTACAACTCAAAAGCAAAGAGGGAAAGGCAATAAATAATCTCCAAGAAAGGAGTAAACTGTGCGAACAAGAAGAGAGGAAGAATGTGCAGTACGGTCACTCTGACAGCTTGGAGAACAAACACACTACAGCTTCAATATGGCATCTCTTCAGCCAGCTGGCCCAAACCGCTCGCACTCGCATGCCCGGCAAGAGCTGTACAGCACGCTCGCCGGGTGACGAGAGATTTAGAGCAACTGGCTCTGAAATCCCCATGCCGTTCCTTGCCCGCACCTTGCAGCCACGCAAATGGGGGATGCTGGCTCGACGGAGAACGGGAGGGTCTGCGGGCCTCGAGCTTCAGCTCTTCTCCACTTGGTAGTCCATTCACCCAAAGTCGCTCACCAGGCCGTGCGAAAGCCAACGGCTCGCTGGTCGCTGCACCCTGACACCACCCGGTCCCAGCAGGAACGACAGGCTGACATGAAGCTTGGCCTGCATGAGCACCACGAAGTCTTCCTTATGACCACTGCAGCAGCAAGTGCATCATCGAAAGTTCAGACCCTACGAATGATGAGCAGCCTTGCTGCTGCTGTGTGTCCACGGGTTTGAAGTTTTCGATCGTGCCACTGAAGGGGCTGGACCCTGCATTAAGTCGAAGATGCATGTAAGCATCTCTGCCCCGTAGCATCACACGTCGGGTGCAGTGGCCTGGCTCTCTTGGAGAGAAGGCATCGCAGCTAACGGCCAGCTCGACATCGACCGTGCCAGGACCCGGTTCTTCCATTCTCCACCTTGCACGGCAACTTCGGTGGGCGACAGGAAACACAACATGGCACCATAGAGCACTTCTGAAAAATTCGGTCACACGGACTTCGGCATGAACAATGCAGTGCGGCGGGAGCCAGCTCAAAACAACCCCCGGCGAAGTATTTGCCAAACTACTCGTGCCCAAGTACCACGCCGCCTTGTCATCCAGCTGCCGAGAAAGCTTAAATCTGCCAGGATTGCCGGAACTCCCGATGCACTTGAAGACGACGTGAGTAACTAGACTAAACTAGACTCCACAGAAAAGCCTAGGTTCAGATTTGCACACCTCCGGGACACCGAATTCACCCGTCCACCACATCGTGAGCTATCCACCTTCGCCGGAAAGCCCCTGGCTGCTGCAATCTTCTGCTTGTTGCTGTGCCTTCACTACAGTAGCCGGTAGGCCATCGCCAAACTCAAAATCCTTCCTCCCCGGTCGATGTGCCCACCTTGCCACGTCAATCGAGCCTACTGGATCGGGCGGCTCGACGCCCAGCAGGGCCTGCCGGGATTGCAGCGACATCGCGAAAACGCAGTGCAAGTTCTATGCAAGTCTCAGGTCGCCTGAAGAGTGGCATTGCCAGTCAGGTCCTCACGTGCCAGGAGGCTGGAAAAGTACCTTGGAAACCGGCAAAGAAGCTGAGTACCAGAATCAGAACATTGAACGGCCTCGTCTATCTTGTAGCTTAGAAGCGTCTGGAAGGCTGCCACTCGCCTTGCCGCACGCTTCATCCATTTGTCATGACTTGCCGAGTAACTCACAACGTCTCTGTCAAGACCAGCCTTTAATTTCACGCGTTCTTGGGAAATACTGCGACTCGATTGGAAGAGATGCAGCCGTGCTAATTTGCGGCAAATGTCTGGACCGGAACATCTTCGCCCCAAATCCAGCTCAAGCCATTCAGCGCTTTGGGCGGAAACTCCGGCAGGCTGCCGTGTGTGCCTTGCACGCAACATAACTTGCCTACCAAAGTGACAAGCACAATCCAGTTGCCCTTGAAGCATGCCTGCGGCCAGTTGTTCATGAAAGGCAAGAATCTCACGGTATCGGCGATGCACCTGCAAACGTGCCAGTCTACGCCTTGAACATCAAGATCCCCAAAGAGCGAAGGCCCACACCCCTAATCTGCGCCAACTCCTGCAGTCCAATTCATCTGACTACCGTTTCTCGGAATTACAGGTCAGAACAAACCAAAAAGCGGTGACTCCGGGCACTATCATGCGCCCTGTGTGGGGGAATGTTCTCCTGCTGCCTTCCAGGAGCAGCCGCTGGGCACGTGCAGCACTTGAAAAGCATACCTCACGTGGCCTTAGCCAAGACCGAGGCGGCAGGATTGTAATGGAAAGAAGTCTGATGTCCGCCATTCCTCACTTGAGGTAGTCTGGAAGCCTTCGACACATAGCCGCATGGACATATGCAGGCACGTAGCCCTCAGTCTCATCATAGCCGGTGCAGAAGACGGAGAAGTGCTTGTTCTCCATTCATAGGCGACATTGCTGCTGCCTCGTGTTCCCGGTCCTTCTGATTAACAATGCAGTCCAATTTGCATCCTCCACTTCGAGCAATCAGGTCTCCGATATGGGTCACGGTAGATCGTGAGTCATGCATGCAATACCGCATGTGGCCTGCTTGTGCCTACAGGTGACATGACCCTAGTTCTGCTTGCATGTTGCATTTCTGTGCGCAGCAGCCATGTACTCTATAGCCCACTGTGCAATTGCTTGACATGATCTACTGCCTTCTCCGAAGCCTGACAGTCTCGAGGCATACGCTGCAACACCGCCCAGCTTCCAGGGAACGGACAACCAATCACGGAAGCTACGATTTGCCTCTTGCTGTGAGGCTCGCTGCGAATCTTTCATGGAGAGAGCCAGATTCTTGCTTCTGGGATCCTGGCTAAATCCAGCCGCCGGAAACCTTGATCATCAGTCTCCCTCTGGTATCTGGATTGATGAGTACCGCTTCAGACACTTCGGCGGATGTCTATACCAGCACGCCGGAAGCGTCTGGATGACTGGGCCAGGCGGCGTGGCCAAAGCTCGCGGTGACTCCACAGAGCAGGGCTCAGCTGCACCTCTGCCACGTAGCACAACAGTTCTGGAGTCTACAGCTTTCAGCCGGGCTCTCAGCCATGCCACGGATGAAATGTCTCTTGCATTTCCACATTTGAGGTGGGAACGGCCTTCCGTGCACAACGTCACCTGCCACACGTTGAAAGCCTGATCTGATCATGTCGGGATTGTGGTGTCAATTGGGCGAAGGATTCTTTCAACTCAGAGCACTGACTCGGCGGTCGCTGTATGCAATCGAGTGACTGAGAGCTCCTCTGGCACGGTGATGGGAATGCGGAAATCCTTGAGATGCCAGACATTCAGTTCAATCAGTCTAGTTTGACGCTGCACGGTCACCTGCGCAAGGCTTAACCATTCCAAAGACTGCCACAAGCAAACGGAAGCTCATCTTAGATTTTGACACCGATTGTGGACGACGGGCAGCCAGACATCCGGCTACCGATCTCGCAGATATACCATCACATGGACAGTTAAACTTACGCGACTGCGCACGGCCATGTGCGTGCTACTTGCGGCTGCGCTGCAAATTGACCCGGAGGCAAAGGCCGCGCCAGGTCTATGTGAATGAGTATGCGGTCTTCCTCAAGAACTGAATCGATTGCAGAATTGCATCCAGCATTGGTTTTAAACATCGGCAACACTGATTGCGACAAGAGCTTTCTGGGCTAGGCTTCAGACCTTTCTGATGTCTGCCCAAGATGTCGCGCCGTGGCTGCTTGACAGTGGAAAACTTGGGTTCAGTATTTCGATGCCGCGTGGCGTCTCTAACCTCGGTCACGCCAGGAGAAAACAGCGAATTAGCACAAGTGTGTTAGCACGCAGCTTGTGTCGCTCAGAGTCAAGCGAATGCTCGAAATTTTCAGCGAGTGTAAGAAGAACCTCGGTGCCACAGCGATTCAGGGATGATGCGCTGCCAGATTGTGAGGGCTCGGGCCGACTCAACCAAACCGCGCTTCACTTGTTGCCGCACCTCGAAGCCTCTCAAGGGATGCTTGTTTCCATTTTGGGGAACTCGCGAGAGCAACCCAAGCTCCAGGCCCATGACAACACTGCTCGCTTGCCCAGCTTCGGCCGCCTGGAGCCGCTCTTTCTTCTGACTCTTGTGAACGTTTGTAGCCTTGCCTAAACTGCAACAGATCACCTCGAAAGCGTCAGCTACGTTCAGGCTTACAAGACGCGACTATGCTGCCTGCATCCTTGCCACAAAGCCGAACAGTTGAACACTAGCCGATACTAGCCGGCTGGATCGGAAACCCTACCCGTGCTGGACAAGGAAACCTACTTTGTAGCGGTCTGGGACACGCTGGGACAATCCTAAATTTCAGAGTCGCCCCTTGTTTCCCAACGCTCTAGTCATTCTGGTCCGCGGCCAGCAGCTCGAGTGTTGTGCCACATGACCGGGCTCCCGGCGGTCCACCTCAAGGGACGAGGGCCCACGTGCAGCTCGCTTTGTAACTGCTGGCCTCAGCACATGCATCACCTGTTTGGCGGCTAGCCGCCTAGCCATCTCGAGCTACAAGTATGTGGAGATCTCAGCCCCTGGACCCTTCACCACCGTGGTCGCATCCTGCACCAGGCCACTAGGACCTGACATTTACATGCAAGGGCGCATCATCCGCGCGATCGGTTGCAGGATAAGGCAGAGACCAAACACCAGCAGCGAAAACATGTTCTTCTTTGGAGCGGCAGGGGGCCTCGGATGGTTCCTCTTCTGTTGGGATTGTTCTGCTGATGCCTGTGATGGCCCTCGTTCTTTCTGGGCCACCGACACCTGCGCCCCAACTCCCTTGCGAAGCCATGTTTGCAGCTGCATCGCATCTTCAGAAGTTCTGCACGGATTTCAATCGATGCTTTGGCCATGGCGAATGCGTACGTGCCCGGTACCAGCCCAGAAGATAAGCGCCTCAAAGAGAGGGGCTTACACACACCGGCGTTGGTGTCCATATTGCTTGGGGTCGCACAACATCAGAGATCCCGCCTCCGCTGTACAACCTGCTTGATTTCGGCAGCGCTTGCATGCGTCCGTTCGTCGTGCTTCGCCATGTCAGGCCTTCGATAGGCAGTGAAATCTCTTGGAGCTGCGGTCCTGTCAGCCACGAATGCACAACACCCTTTAAGATTCCGTGGGTGAGCATGGCATTAGGGTGACCGACCACACAAAATGTCCTGAACAGTTGAGAACCAACTCCGGTGGATTCAGTAACCTGCCAGTCGCTCTTGATGCCGGTATCGCATGCGGTCTTCCCCGAATCTGGCCGAGGAGAAGACTGCAGGATCCCCCCCGGTAGCAGCTCGTCGCGTAGCCGCAACCTCCAGCGGAGATGGCGGTCTGGCCCTTCTGTGCTTGGCAGAGTCATCTCTGGATGTCACTGGCCTTACCACCAACTCTGATCTTCTGTCAGGAGAAGCGGGGTAGATCACAGCGACCTCTTCCACGACAAGGGGGGTGCAACACACAGAAAATCAAGAGAACCACCGAAGTGTACACATATCTCTGCATGACAATTTAGAATGAGGGTGGTGCACTGCGCATCTGCACCACATCAATGCCCAACTTGTCCTTGCTTGCCAGCAAAATGGCGTGACAGTCACGACGAATTAGACGGAATGTTCTGATGCGGTGTTTTTTCCACCAGGTCGCCTCGCCCCAGCCAACCACTTCGCCTGCGCTCTCGGTCTCGACAGGATGTAGTACTGCTGCTGTGATTCGACAGTTCTGCCACGCGGCTCTTAGTAGGCAATTGCTGTGCAACTGTTTTTAATTGACCAGATTGCTACATGCTACAGGAGCTGGCCGGCTGTCTCCGATCACAGCCTTGGGTCCACCCAACCAGGAGCCATGTAGAGGAAGGTAAAGCTGCTGCAGGTGTACGAACCTAAACAGAGATGTCGCAGTGAACAGGCTCTACTTTTCGGGTCGTCCCGGTGCCTGGAGGCTGAGCTCTTGCAAGTCCGTGAAGAATGCCTTGATTGGAACCAGCTCCGCTGCGTCCTGCGTGATGCAAAGACTATGGGCTTGATACCTCAAAAGCGTCATCCGTGGGGACTCCCCCCTGATCAGTGCATCTAAGATCGACGAGCTGGCCTGATCATTCACCTGAGTTGGCGAGCAGCGAGCCACCACATCCTTAAACATATCTGCAGCATGGCTGGGGCGAGGAAAAGGCAAAAGCTGATCGCAGCTATAGAAAATGAAACGATTTGTGCACGTCGGTGAGCAAACCACAAGAGCCTCCACTGAGGAGATCGCACTGGGTCCGCTCAGGCAGTTTTCGGTGAAGCGGAAGCCTGCCGGTGCTACCTGAGCTCGACCCAGGACAACAGCGGCGGCTGTTGGGTTGCTATAGCAAATCTCAAGCTCGCGGTGCCGCGCTGCTTCGCGGTCCATCTTTCCATGTTATCCGTGACCACATGCTATTGAACAGCAGAGTGGCTATGGTTAACCGCGTCGGCGATGATGCATGCAACGACACGGCCAACTCGATGGCGACAACAGCAAGTGGCGGACTCCTGGAACAAGGCAGTCTGCAACCACTTCATCAGGCAACAGCTTGGTGAAGGTCAGGGCAGGTGCATCCCGAGCTGCAATGTCTTGTCTACAAGTGTTAGTTATAATTTTGCTCACAAGACTTGTACCACAACACCTCAGATTAGCTTTCATGCTCTGTGCAAGCGATGCAGACCGCAAAATCAGAGTTGCCTTCGGATGCAGGCAGGGCCTTTGTTGCATTGGGCCTTTGTTGCATTCATGGCTTATATTGCCAACATGGAGGCTGTGTGCTCGGTCCTCACGGCAGTTACTTCAACCTCAGAAGACAGACTTGGCACAATACCTGCAAGAAAGCCAAAGCTTGCTAAAGGCTACCCGACTTCCCTGAAGCAAGGCGACAGCTTGGCCCTGCACTTCGTAGGCCGGCACAAGGTGCACCGTTCCCTGGCAAGGCCAGTCACAAGCCGCACTACTGTGATCGTGTGATCTCCGGCTTTGCGCCTCTGCTGAGCCGAGACTACTAGGAAGACCTGCTCCCAGGACCTGGCAAACAGCAGAGACCGGGCGTGGGGCTCTGCTCTCTCAGTCGTGCCTCGAAGCCCCAGAACACACCTGCCCGCATGTGCCCACAAGCACGACAGCAGACCCTGACACCTTCGGAAATTAAGGCATTGGCGCCGTGGCAGGGTAGCAGGAGCCAGGACAGTCGCAGTTGCTCGATACCAGATGTCTCGCTGCAAACCTGCATTAACAAATTGAAGCACCTCCCCCTCCCCAAAAAATCTTAAGGCCAACGGCACCTTGCCCGGCCAGGGTCTCGAAAGAAACCCCATCTTCTGTCTTGCTGGAAGACATTGGAACACTCGTGCCTGCAAGGCAGACACACAAACACATGAGCATGTGCGACAGGTCAATAGATCAGTTCGCAGTCAAATCCCTTGACTGCTTTCCTGTGTCCACAACGACCAAGCGGAAGTTGCCCTGCAAGCCCATGGGAACAGCACCGACTAGTGACTAATGGCAACGGGGATCTTCTGAAGGAGAGCGAGGAGTTGATCTGATCCTGGCAGCACGCGCCTGCAGCATGACGAAAGGCTTGCCCGAAATGCGCAGCGTCTCGAATGGGTTCACGTTTTCCAGAAACCTCACCTCAATGATGCCGGTGCTTCACAGCGGGCAAGTCTGTCGGGCACAATCAGGGGCAAACACCGCTTTCTAGACTAGATGTACGTCGAAACGCAGGGGTCAGGTATGGGGTCAGGCATATGCCACATGCTATTCGGCAGTGCTGCTAGGGCCTTGGTACCCGATGGAAGCCAAGCAGCTCCAGCCAATATCGCACATCCAGTGTCCTGATTGATTCCAAGCTGCCTCAATCTCCAGTGCGGTGCGACCACCCAGCTGTGCCGGCCACTGTGACCTGAATGACGACCACGGCCAGACTGCAGATTTATGACCAATCCATACCATATCTGCTTTGAAAAGCCGCCAGAATTGCAGCTTTGGCACTGCGTGAGGTTTGGCGCGTACTCATTGCGGAGCTGCAGCGATCGGAGCTCGATGTGGCCTGCCATGGAGGTGAGCCCGGCAGTTGCCATGCGACGTGGCTTTGCGCGGACGACTTGAACATCAGGCTCGGGCCCATGCAATTCCAAGTTCCACTCGGCATGTGCAGTATGGGCCTGGAATCTGGCTGCCACTGTCGATGCTGTGCTTTCTGGCCTTGGCAAGAAACGACGCAAGATCACAAAACAAAATGCGAAGATTTGGCAGACTCGAACTATCCGCTTGGCTTCAGGCGATTCGGCCGCCCGTGCCTGAAAGAAGCAATGAACGAAAGATCGACAACAAACGCCGGGCAAAGATGGAAGGTCAGCCGAGAAACTGTTGCGAATCTCCAAGTCGAAGATAACACGCCCACCATGATTTGGTAAATGAGCATTGTATATTCGAAGACCAACACGATCACCATCCTGCATAACACTTTGCTGTCACAAAAGCCACTTATGATCAGGAGAATGCCGAGAAACTGAGCGTGCCTTCATGTTCAAACTCACGAGCAAGACCGAGTTGGTCTCTGACCCTCAGGACGACACCGCACGCATGGACCATCAAGCCATCTCAACTCCATCCAGAACCTTCATGTGACATGTGATATGCCTTCCAGGAAAAAAACTAAGCCAGTGCGCAGAAACAGTCTGTGATAAGTTGTGCTGTGACGGTCGAAGGCGGTACATGTCGTTTGTGTATATATGTATGTATATATATATGTATATCTACATGTATATCTATATATTACATATATATATATATATATTTATGTATCTATACATATATATATGTATATATAAGTTAAACCCCCCATTGACCTACCGTTTTAAGGAGCACCGAATAAACACTTGAACTGAAAAACTGCGGTGATAGATATATGGCTTTGCCGCAGAATAACAGAGGCACACTTCCCGTCCGAGGAGTGCGCCGGTGCATGCCCGCAGGTCCTCGTTGCGGTGGCAATACTCCCACGGTGCACTGCGAACTTGCGCTGCGAGAAAAGGGTTTCTCCGCAGGCACTCCTTGATGAAATGCCAGGCCCGATCGATGATCTGGGTCCCGGCTTTTGTTTTCATTGTGCGTCCATCAGGAAGCTTATGCACCGACACATTGACAAAGGTTGGCTTCTTCCAAACCCATTTGCCCGCTCTTTTCACACGGCTCTTCTGGTGAACGACAGCATCATGGAGCATTCCCGGCACTTTCATGCGGTTGGAGCGAGCCGAATCAGAATGCAGGATGACGCGGCGGTCCTTCAAGTACTTGTGGGCGAAAGGCTTCCAGTCAATCTTCCTCATGGCTCCGGGTCCGGGAACACGTGAAACAGTGACGCTGGATTGAGCTTCACGAGAACCAACGTCTTAGGACATCCCCGCTGCACCAATCCACCCCATTGTTCCCAAAGTGTGTTCGCATGGCTTCAACGTCTTTTTGTCGAAGGTGGCCTCATCCGACATCTCGCCATGCACGGGGGGCACCGCCGAAAGTGACAGTCTTCTCGACTTTGAGAACGTGGGACTTGCGAATGAGTGTGAGGCTGCGGCTCATTTTCTCGAGGGCCTTGTGATTGATGTGAGCAATCAAATGAATGATGCTGAGAGGGACAGCTGTTTGGCTGCAGCTCCAGGCACGATCTTGGCATAGCGCACCTGGATGCCCCCTAAGCCTTCCAACATGTACTGAAGGCCCCGGCTCCGCTCTCGGAATTGTTTCTGGTATTCTGGAAAATCCTGATATCGCTGCTCTGCAGGAACAGCGTCTCCACCTGTTTGAGGTCAATGTCTCCTTCGTAACCCAGAAGCACATCCAGGAACTAAGTCTTCCGCTTCATGCAGTCCACAATTTCGTCCTTAGCTGGAAGGCTCCCGATGATGATGTGGCCCGGTGGTTTGTTGACCACCAAGGGCTTGTCCAAGATGAGGATCTTCATCCCATCTGTGTTGGTTACAGCCTCATCGCACGTCACAGCGCCATCCAAGTTGCTGTCGTCAATGGATTGGGCCAGGGACATGGGTCGGGTAGGAGGAGCGGAGGCCATGACGCGAAGGAAACTGGGAAGGATGGAAGTGGCGAAAGTTAGCGCCGAGAATACCAGCTGCTGGAAACATATTCGGGTTGCTCCTTTAGAGAAAAACAAAGCATGCTCAGGTGCACTTCTAGTCCCCCTTATGAAATTATAATATACCCAAAGCCATATTCTATCTACTTAGGGGCCGCTATAAGCTGAGTGCAGTGCACTAGTGCACAGCATCCATACTGTTGGCAGATTTCGACAGTGGCTGTTAGCGTGCTTGTGCAAATTCCATGAGGAAGGCACGTCTGAGCACTGAGCCCGCTCAGAAATTCAAGAGTTATGCCTATTCTTGCTCCAGCATGCCACCCCTCAGGGATAGCACAAGTGAAACAGATTGTTCTCTCTGAGAACACCACGCAATCTGGTAACCTCCATATACAACTCTGCATTACGTTCTTCCTCATCTTACGCTCTACCGATGGCCGCTTCAAGATCATCAATACGTACACGAAGGTATTGGACGAGCTTTCTATTGGTTACCTTGCGGGCTTTCCTGGGAGGGGACGCCGAGTGTGATGATGAACATGATGTTGCCAGGGATTCCGAATGCTTCTGCGAGGCCCCATCGTCATCCTGCATTGCCTTAGAAGGTGATGAGCTACATGTTCCACAACGGGGTCGCTGCAGCCATGCGTGAAGCCTCTGCTGAGACTATGATGAGATTGCACTGACCAATCACCATTGCTGCCCGTTCGCAGAGCCAGGGTGGTCTGTATACTTGCTGGCTGCGTCTGCAAAGATCTCAGTGTAACATCCTTCTTCGTAGCATGCACCTCTATGGCGCCACTGTGGATCGTTTTTGAGAAGATGTCACCACATGGTCCGACTCATCTGCATGACGGGCACTCGAGGATGGCACTCCCAGCTCCAGCACAACAGTTCCTTTTCTCGTGGCTGTAACATGACCAGCGTCAGCTAATAACTACTTCTGCCGCTTAAGGAGTTACATGTGACCAAGTCCTAGTGTGCTTATCTAGCGAAAAAATACATGAGTAATTACCTGTGATAGAAACCCCTCATGTCTACCGAATGGATGTGACGGAGCTCCGATGCAAGTGGCAGCGGCTTCTATACAACCCAACCCTATGCATCCCAACAACTCAACATGTTAAGGATTCCTTCTATTCATAACAGGAGTGTCCTTAGTCAAAACATCGATTTATGGTCTTAGGATGGTTAGGGTAACTAACAATCCTAAGGAAAAACAGACCCTCCCAGAGACAGCGAGGTCGCCCGAGTGCGGGACCTGCGGCAGACAGGTGTCTTTGCAGGGGTAGCTGGTGTTGGAAAGCCAGGTGTCTACTGTGCATTAAATACAAGTTCCAAGTGTGTGGTATACGCGGGCCTATGCAAATGCCTAACAGAAATGTTCTAGAACACGGCCTCCGTTCTAGAACGAAGGGGCGCTGTTCTAGAACGGGGGTTTTTTGGAAAAACAATTTTTCAATGGGCTCAATCTTTTGGAGGTCTTGGACAATAGCATCAGAATCAAACAGATTGAGGCCTCTGAGGCCTCTCAGCATTTTGAGACTCCGGGAGCTGCAAAACACGGAGAGGCCCCAATCTTTTGGAATCCTGGACCGAAACAAGATTGGGGCCTCTCAGTGTTTTGCAGCTCCCAGAGTCCCAAAGTGCTG